ACTCTTTCCTAACTGAGCAAGAAAAAAATATAGTGAAACAAATTAACTAACTTTAAAAGATGGGGGGTGGAGGGAGAGATTCATTTTTAAAGTGCTAAATCATCCTTTGCAGTAGTCCAAACATTAACATTTAACATTCTTTTAAGGCATTGCCAGTTTTTCCTCACTATAAACTACATCTAATACAAGTACACTACCCAGCAATAAATAACTTGCTCTGAATTTTCCTTGGAAGAAATCTCCGTCATTCTCTTGCCTGGGTGCATTTATAACAACAGAGAAAAAATGCTTTTTATTATTATGGTACCCAGAGGTTCCAGTCAAATTTGAACTACTCTCCCCAAGCCTGTATTGCAGAACACGCTATTTTTTACCAAAGAGCTTGCAAAACAAGACATGACCAACAGGCACAATTAACAAATGAACAGAACAACAAAGTTATAGAACCACACACTCTTGCATTCAAATCCTGGTCACAACATCAAGGTCACAGGAAGTGTTTACCTTCAGACTACAATTACTTCACATATAATGCTATTAACGTGCCTTGTCTTGAAGAACTTTATGCACAGATAGGCTTGAGGTTTTAAGCATTAACTCAGAAATCACATATTACCAATGAAAAGGGAATAAATGCAAGTACAGGAGAAGCAGACAAAGTGGATGGTAAAATTCAGTAAGAAACAAAATAATGAGCAGGAACAGAAAGAACTGTGAAAGGTCTTATGACACAAGAAACCTGAATTCAACACTGTGGAAGATAAAGACAACTGAGAGACCTATAGAAAGCCAACACAGAGAGCACAGCACACTAGAAAATGTCATCGGCACCAGCATTTTGAATAGCAAAGGGGCATAATAAAAGCCAAAAGAGTAGGCAGTAGTAATTACGTGAGAAGATAAAAGTCTGGGTGAACTTTAACAGCAAGGAGAGACAAAGATCTCAAAAGTTCAAGGTTTCATAAGGCCTATCTATATGAACTAAGAATGCAACATGGCTAAAGTGGCTCTGAAGCAAGGATGTCTAAACTGTAATCTATGTTCACCATTATTTTAGCAGCAGTCAATCTCCCTGCAGCAGCTCAGGTGTGCACAAAGGACGAGGCTGCAGACCAGACAGATTATCCCACTGGGGGCAACAGACAGCTGGTCCAACATGCAAACAAGAGAGGGCAGCCAGGAAAGTAAAAATATCATCTTATGATGCAAGGAAAGTGAACCACCTGCCTTGCCAGAAAATGTGGGCATCATTTTCCCATTTGCTGCAATAAAAATCAAGATTATGTGATCAGGGCTTCTCGCTGTGCTATCTGAATCCACACATAAAAAAATACAGCCTGAAAAATTTCAGTAAAAAAAAATAAACAAAAAAAATCCAGCAGCAACATGATTCAATTAGCAGCGACTCTGCACAAAATTATGTCAAATTAATAATTATCATGGTTTTGAGCTGGCTGGCTGTGCTTTTATCCTTCTCTTCTGGTGTTGTAACCACTCCTCTTAGCATAGGCACCAGCAGCTCAGCTACATCTCAGCAGTACTTAGACCATGATTCAAGCATTTCACTGTATCAAACCGCACACACCAAGGCCACGCATCAACCAGAAGCGCTCCAGCTTTTAAACAGCATAGAGTGAAACCAGCAGCAACCCATGGGCAGACACACGGAAATCATTTAACCCCCGGGTGGTCTGTTTAGGTTTGTTCAATAACTCACACCGTAAACTAAACAAATTTAACCGAGGGGTAATCCGCTCTGAGATGACGTTATGACAAAGTGTAACCAGACAGGTGAAGCCTGTGAGACTTCCCAGCGCTGTCACCACCTGAACCTTTCCCACCACAGACGGAGAGGAGCGACCCTGCGAGATGCTGAAAGGCCACGGGTACCAGGGGCACCTGGCACCTCTCCGGGTGCTGAGCAATAAATAAGCTAATAAATAAACTAAATAAATAAACTAAGAAGTTTCGGCGTGTATCCAGACACTCCTCAAATACACGCAGGGCGTACCTACAACTGGAACCCGTAAAAACTGACCCGCTTCGATGCCCCTGCAAAGGCTCTTGGCGCAGACGCTGCCCGGTCCGGCGGTGCCGGCTCGCTGCCCGGTGCCAGTCTCATCCGCGATGCCGTCCTGCCGGGAGGCACAAAACCCCCCTCCGCGGCGGCGGGGCTGCCTTTGAAAGGTTGTTGTTCTTCAGGGCAACGAGATAAGGGCCCACTATCAAACGGCAACACGAGGAAAAAGCTTTGCCGAATGGTGGGGAGGGCATTTCCGCCTTATTTCCCCCGAAACGTCTCGG